TTTCTAATTAGAATCTTCATGGTACGTATAACATTAACTCGGACTTGTTAGTACCTGTAGCAAAAGAATGAATCAGAAAGCCTGTGGGTAAATGAGAAAATTGATTGGGCAATCTGGGAAGGCTTCCCGTAAAGGAAGGCTTTGGGTTCCAGGGTAAAGTAGAGCAGGGAGGCCATGCACAGGCCAGAAAGGGAATTTATTTCATCTAGCTTGTTGGAGGTGATGGGCGTGTCTGAGCCTGGAGTCAGCCATAATGTACCTCCTTTTCTTTTTTCTCTAGGACTTCCGATTACATCCTACCTTTCAGTCCTGGCTGGCGCCTCCGACTCACAGCGTCCTTCCTTTTGTCTGTCTTCCCGCTGCTAGACCTCCTTCCAGTGGCTCTGCCTCCAGGGTCACGCCCAGGGCCCATAGGGCTAGAGGTTCTGGCAGGGTGTGTGATGGCTGTGGCCTGGTTCACCCACAGCCTGGCCCTGTGGGCATTGGTTCATTCCCGTCATGGCCGCTCCCGTGGACCCTTGGCCTTGGCTCTGGCAGCCTTCCTACCAGCTCCAGCCCTGGTGCTGACTCTGCTGTGGCATTGCCAGAGAGGCACGTTCCTGCCCCCGCTTCTCCCAGGACCCCTGGGCCGTGTCTGTCTCCTTATTCTGCAGCTGGCAGCAGTCTTGGCATATGGACTGGGCTGGGCAGCCCCTGGGGGGCCACGAGAGCCCTGGACTCAGGAACACTTCCTGACCTCTGAGAGTCAAGAAACAGAGGTGGCTGAAGATGGAGAGAGTTGGTTGTCACGTTTTTCCTATGCCTGGTTGGCACCCTTGCTTGCTCGCGGCGTCCGTGGGGAGCTCCGGCAGCCCCAGGACATTTGCCGACTCCCCCGAAGGCTGCATCCTGCCTACCTGGCCCGCGCCTTCCAAGCACAGTGGAAGGAGGGGGCCCAACTGTGGAGGGCCCTGTATGGGGCCTTTGGATGTTGCTACCTGGCCCTTGGACTGTTGAAGCTGGTGGGGACCATGCTGGCATTCTCTGGGCCTCTGCTGCTCTCCCTCCTGGTGGGCTTCCTGGAGGAAGGGCAAGAGCCCCTAAGCCACGGCCTGCTCTACGTCCTGGGCTTGGCCAGTGGGGCTGTGATGAGTGCGGTGCTGCAGAACCAATACGGGTATGAGCTCCGGAAAGTGACGCTTCAGGCCCGGGGGGCTGTGCTGAGCATCCTCTACCGGAAGGCCTTGCAGCTTGGGCCCAGCCGCCCTCCCACGGGGGAGGCCCTGAACCTACTAGGCACCGACTCCGAGAGGCTGCTCAACTTTGCTGGCAGCTTCCATGAGGCCTGGGGCCTGCCTCTGCAACTGGCCATCACCCTCTACCTGCTGTACCAGCAGGTGGGCATGGCCTTCGTGGCCGGGTTGGTCTTGGCACTGCTGCTGGTACCCATCAACAAAGTGATTGCCACCCGCATCATGGCCAGCAATCAGGAGATGCTACATCACAAGGATGCCCGGGTTAAGGTGAGGGGCTTCTGGGGTCCTCCAGCTGGAGGGAGAGCCCACCCAGCAGCTAGGCGGAGGTGTGTGAGCGATGTCTCAGCTTCACACCGCTCTCTCTTCCCTGTCTCCAGCTCATGACGGAGCTGCTGAGTGGCATTCGAGTCATCAAGTTCTTCGGGTGGGAGCAGGCTCTGGGGGACCGAGTAAAGGCCTTCCGGTCTCAAGAGCTGGGCCGACTCCGGGTCATCAAATACCTGGACGCAGCCTGCGTGTACCTGTGGGCTGCTCTGCCTGTCGTCACCTGCATCGTCATCTTCGTCACCTACGTCCTCATGGGGCACCAGCTCACTGCCACCAAGGTGAGAGCTGGGGAGGGGTCTTCGGGTTACCAAGACTATGCCAAGACTGCTGTTGCTGTGTTGGAGCGCCATGACCAAAAGCGACTTGGGGAGAAAAAGGGTATATCACACACACTGCTATATAAAACAGCACAACAGAAAAAACAGAGAACACAAAAACACACACAGCACAACACCGAGACACAAGAGCAGACACAAAACACAGAGAGGGGCCACAGACACGCGCCCCCCCCGCGGCGCGCGCACACCCCGCGCGTATAGAAAACACAACAACAACGCCACAGAGAGCACAACACACAACAGGCGCGACACCCCCCCAACAAACAACAAAGAAAAAAAAACCCCAACAGCCCGCCCGCAACCCGAACCTAAGGAAGCAATTTCCCAAGTAAAAAAAAATTTTCTGGAGACAATTTCTCAAGTCCTCCTCTCTGATGACGCTGCCTCTTGTCAGGTTGACAGAAAACCAGCCAGCAGAGGGAGAGGACGGCCCTAGGGAGAAATGGGAAGGGGTGCTGTGGAGTGGAAATGTGGGCTCAGGCCCTTAGTGTTAACCGGGGGCGGGGAAGAAAAAGGACCCTGGCTGCCTTGTCCTTTCCGCGCGGAGGGGGTGTTCTCTGAGGGCTTTTTTCTGTGGTCTTGGATATACAGCTCTTTGTGTGTGTGAAGGGATTGCTTTCTTCCTCTCCTTTATCTTCAGCTCCCGTTGGGGTTAAGTCCTTTTGTGAGAAGTGCTTTTATATACATAGACAAGGTGTCCCTGTGTAGCCCAAGCTGCCGTCTAACTGGGATTGGTGTGGCCTTTGGGGCAGGGGTCAATACTCTAGTGTTAGGCCTGGCCAAGGCTAGTGACCTTTGTTGTCACTCAGATTATAAGGAAGTCTCAGAGTGACCTAGGTTATGTGCTCATCAAGAGAAGCTTGGGGGTTTGTGTGTAGCTCCATGTCAGCCAGTGCTTACCGTGTGTGAGCTTCTGGGTCTGTCTCCAGCATCAGCATAGTAACCTGCAACCAAGCGTGGTGGCGCATGCCTTTAATCCCAGCACTTGGGAGGCAGAGGCAGGTGGATCTTTGTGAATTCGAGGCCAGCCTGGTCTACAGAGTGAGTTCCAGAACAACCAGGACTACACAGAGAAACCCTGTCTCAAAAAGTCAACAAACAAAAATAGTAACCTACATTCTTAAAGAACATTCAGAATTTCTAGAATTCTTAGGATGGCCACCTCTGTCTTTTTTGGAGGGAGGGGGTTCAAGACAGGGTTTCTCTTTGTAGCCCTGGCTGTCCTGGAACTCACTCTGTAGACCAGGCTGGCATCTGCCATTTCTAACCCCAGGGTAGCCCAGCCAGCTCCTTAGGCCTGCTGCTGCCCTGTTCTTGCCTCCGGAGATCAGTCCACAGGGCCACCCTCAGAGCAAGACTCAGGGACTGACGCCTCACCCTCACCCTCACCCCCACTTAGGTGTTTACGGCACTGGCGCTGGTACGGCTGCTCATTCTTCCTCTCAACAACTTCCCCTGGGTGATCAATGGCCTCTTGGAGTCCAAAGTATCCTTGGACCGGATCCAGCGGTTCCTCGATCTTCCAAACTACAACCCTGAGGCCTACTACAGCCCCGGTAAGGGGGAAGGGGCTAGAGGGAAGAACTCAGTACACAGTGAGGGGGGTGATATAATCTTTTTGTTCTAAGACTTATTTTATTGTTTGTGTATGTACATATACCTAAGTATGTATATGTGTACCACATGTGTGCAGATACCCAACGGAGGCCAGAAGTTCCCTTGGAACTGAAGTTAACAGGCATGAGCCTTATAATATGGATCCTGGGAACCAAACTGGGGTCCTCTGAAAGAGTACTCATAACCACTGAATCATCTCCCTAGCCTTAGCCTCTTGGACTGTGTGCATAGATGTTTCCAGAGAAGTCAGGAACAAAAGCTAGACTCAAGAGACTCAGGCTGAATTAGCTCTGGACAGGTTGATAAGGGACAGGTGACTCAGTGATGTCCACTGCTTTCCCCACTACATCCCAGCAGATGAGTGGTGGAGGAGCATTGGATGTGTGGTTGGTGGAGGAGCATGGGATGAGTGGTGGAGGACCATGGGGTGAGTGGTGGAGGACCATGGGGTGAGTGGTGGAGGACCATGGGGTGAGTGGTGGAGGAGCATGGGCTGAGTGGTGGAAGAGCATGGGGTGAGTGGTGGAGGACCATGGGGTGAGTGGTGGAGGATGGGGTGAGTGGTGGAGGAGCCTGGGGTGAGTGGTGGAGGAGCATGGGGTGAGTGGTGGAGGAGGATGGGCTGAGTGGTGGAGGAGCCTGGGGTGAGTGGTGGAGGAGCATTGGATGTGTGGTTGGTGGAGGAGCATGGGGTAAGTGGTGGAGGACCATGGAGTGAGTGGTGGAGGAGCGTGTGGTGAGTGGTTGGTGGAGGAGCATGGGATGAGTGGTGGAGGAGCATGGGCTGAGTGGTGGAGGAGCATGGAGTGAGTGGTGGAGGACCATGGGATGAGTGGTGGAGGATGGGGTGAGTGGTGGAGGAGCGTGTGGTGAGTGGTTGGGGGAGGAGCATGGGCTGAGTGGCTCCTTCCCTGTTTAGATCCCCCCATGGAGCCATCCACGGCACTGGAGCTGCATGAAGCCCTGTTCTCCTGGGACCCGATTGGCACAAGCCAGAAGACCTTCATCAGTCACCTCAACGTGAAAAAGGTTTGTGGGGCAGACACCCGGGGAGATCTCCCGAAAAGCAGGATGCCCAGACGGGTACCCAAGGACTGATGCCGCTCCCGGGAGGGAAGGGTAGGTGGGGCTTGGTGTGCAGGTTCCAATCCGAGGGGGAGACAACCCCTTAATGTGTGCATACCACTCCTCCACACCATCTTCTCACACTGCTCACCCTCCCAATATGGCAGCCCACACTCACCTGGTCAATGGTGTGTTTGGTCCCCTCCTGTGTCGCTCTCCAGCCGCAGGACAGTTCAGAACAGACCCCAGGGACTTGTACAAACAACTTAGGAGAGCCCCATGTGGTCTCATGACCAAAGTCATGCCTGGTGACTCCTGACACGGCACATGTAGTCAAAGAGCTTGTAATGGGACATTCCTACAGGACGGTCCTGAGTGTCTGCTCTCCTGACCTTTGTCTAACCCTTTGCCCCATGTCTCAACCCAGAGTTCTCCAGCAGTGGCTGAATGGCCTCTGCCACATTTGGCTCACGTTTCTGGCTTTTGTTGAATGTTTTGTTTTTCTTCTTAGTTCAGGCAAGACAGGGCTGGAATTTTTCAAAGGAATTTTACTAATGTGTTGGGGTTTTTTTATGTATAGATAGATGGAAGTCATAGAAACCCACTGGAGCTAGCCTAAGCAAACAAGAATTTGTAATAAGAATACGTAGATGAATCACAGAGTCCAAGACAAGAACACAGATCTTAGAGGCAGCCCAGGACCGGCCTCAACTTGCAGTGCTCCTGGCCTGCTGTGTGTTGGCCTCACGCTGTCTGCGGACTCTCCATTGAGCGGAAGTGTGACTGCAGCCAGTCTCCCAGCGTGTAGGCTCTAGCCAAGGAAGAAGCGGCCTGAGCCCGGATCCCTCACTTCTAGAAAGATGCCCACCTACAGATAGGTCAGCCCAGGCCTTCCTAGCGTGGACATCCTGGACAAAGCTGCAAAGGCCCCTGCACATTCCTGGATTTTCTTCGTGAGCCAGGAAACAGCTCTGTGACCGTACATTGTAACTAAGAAATGAAGGAAGAGCAGGATGGTTTAAATTTCAGATCGCAAGAAAGGGCATGTTGCAGAGCTCTGCCTTTGCCCAATGTGGCAGGCAATGTAACCCAGCCTCACGGCCCCAAAGACAGGAATCCCTCCTCCCATGCCTGCCTCAGCACACCTTAGGAGTCCTAGACGCCTTCCTCTCCCCTCTGGCAGGTCTTTCTCCCTCAGAGGCCTTTTACAGGCTGAAACTGAGAATAAAGCACTCACCTCCTCTGGGGCAGACGCAGTCACTGAGGTCCACACTGTCCGAGGGGTGGAGAGACATCCTTCCCTGAAGACTTACCTGAGGCCCAGAGAGGCCCAGAGGGGTTCGTCAGTCAAGAACATCAGGAGGGAGACCGTTGTTCCAACCCCTTCCCCCGCAGGCAGGCAGTGCTGACTGTGGCCTGCCTCCCTGCAGGGCATGCTGGTGGGCATCGTGGGAAAGGTGGGCTGTGGGAAGAGTGCGCTGCTGGCCGCCATCACTGGGGAGCTCCACAGGTAACAAACTGGCAGTGTGCCCCTGACGTGTGTGTGTGTGTGTGTGTGTGTGTGTGTGTGTGTAGGAGTGGGGGGTGCACATATACCCCAAAGGGTAAAATTCGGCCCCTTTCTAGGGTGGTGGTTTCAGTCTGGAGATTCAGAGGTTGTCAAAGTAAATCTGGGCTAGGATTTACTCAACTGGTAAAACGCTTGCCTAACTTGTACCACATAAAACTGGGCGTAGTGGTATAAATCTACACCTCTCAGGAGGTGGAGGCAGGAGGATAAGAAGTTTAAGTCATCCTTGGCTATACAGCAGGTTCAAGGCTAGCCTGGGATACAAGAGATCCTATCTCAGAAAATCGACAAAACTTGCCAAATAAAAGGAGCAGGGGAGATCATTGTTAACATTAGAGCAGTGGTTCTCGACCTTCCTGACGCTGCGACCCTTTAACACAGTTCCTCATGTCGTGGTGACCCCAACCATAACATTATTTTTGTTGCTACTTCATAACTGTAATTTTGCTACTGCTGTGAATTATAATGTAAATATCTGTGTTTTCTGGTGGCCTTAGGGGTCGAGACCCACAGGTTGAGAACTGCTACAGTAGCGCGTCATCGAGTTAGAACAAGAGGAGAGGTCACATCTGCTGTCATAGATGTGGCTACATAGGGAAGAGGGCAGAGAGGGGTGAAGATTTGAGGGGGGCATGCTTGCAGGTGAGGATGGGCCACACCTGGGTTCCACAGTGTCTATAGGACGCTGCTGGGCTGGAGCCAAACTGCTGCTTTCTCCAGTCCACAGTGAGCCCACAGCTAGGACCCCTTGACCTCAGAGGCTGCCAGCTACATCTGAGGAAGCATCTGGGAGACAGGGCCTGGGCATGCAAGGGCTCAATAAGGAGCTGGTCCCCATGCTGCCCTGGCTCTCTACAGGCTCTGTGGGTCAGTGGCAGTGTCGGGACTGTCCAAAGGCTTTGGACTGGCCACCCAGGAGCCCTGGATCCAGTGTGCCACCATCCGAGACAATATCCTCTTTGGGAAGACATTTGATGCCCGGCTGTACACGGAAGTGCTGGAGGCCTGCGCCCTCAATGATGATCTCAGCGTGAGTACCTGTCTCGACACCCTCACCTGCCTGCTTCCCCACATGTCCCCAACACTCCAGACTAGACTTACCTCTCTGGGAAGGGCTTCTGCACAGGTGTCACACATCTAGAGCAAGCATCAGCCCCTGGGCCTCCTCGAGTGTTCAGCTGCAGGGTCCCCAATTCCCTGTAAGGCCCAAGGAGGATGGGGAGGGTGTTGCACACAGCACCTAGAAGAGCCCTGAGGCCTCCAAACCCAGGCCAGTTCTCTGTGAGGCTTGGCCTACCCAATAGGAAGGTTTGGAAGAGTCAAGGTCTTCTTTAGAATCCTTGGGAAAGCTGCCACGCCCATTACATTGCCCCATACCCACAAGCCAAGTACTTAAAGCATAAGAGAGAAACCAGATTTTTCCTGTGAGTTCTCCAGCCAATCCCCATGTCTCCTCCAGGACTGTTGTCACCCCTGGCCTGCTCAGATAAATATGGAACTTCCCTGGACAGGAGGCCTTTGATTTTGATCAAGGGTCACCTTGTGTCCCTTTATCATTTCTTTCACATCGTAACAGGCAAGATGGTTTACCTGCCTGTGTTTTGGTCCCATCTGTGGAGAGGAAATAATGCCAACTTTATAAGATCTTCCAATGATACAGTTCCTGTCTTAGTTACTTTTCTAGTGCCGTGATAAAACACCATGACCAAGGCAACTTATGGAAGAGTTAATCAGGGCTCACAGTTGCAGAGGACTAGTCCTTGGCCATCATGGCGGGGAACATGGCAACAAGCAGACAGGCGTGGTGCTGGAGTAGTAGTGAACAGCTCACACCTTGAGACCGTAGTCACAAAGCAAAGAGGGCTAATTGGGAATATTGTACCTCAAAGACCGGCTGCAGTGACTCATCTCCTCCAGCAAGACCACACCTCTTAGTCCTTCCTAAACAGTTCCACCAGCTGGGGACCAAGTATTCAAACACATGAGCGCCTATGGGGACCATTCTCGTTTAAACCACCACAGCCTAGAAGGTGTTAAGTACATAGTAAGTGGTCAGCAGCCTCCAGGTGTTGGAATTTGGGCTTATCTCCTCTAAATCACTTGTCCCAAACTGAAGTGTGGTCTCAAGCCTAGAAGGCCCTGTGGTCTTTCCTACGAAGGAAAGGAGACGTGGTAGGAGGTGTGGGGAGTTTGCTAACCGCAGGTGTCTGTCCCTCAGATCCTGCCTGCCGGAGACCAGACGGAGGTGGGAGAGAAGGGTGTGGCCCTCAGCGGGGGACAGCGGGCCCGGATTGCGCTTGCCCGTGCTGTCTACCAGGTAAATAAGGTCGGCTGGGTGCGTAGGTGGTTAGGTCAGGGGTATGGAAGCGATCTAGCACCGTGGGAGCTTGGCCGAGGAGGGGCTAGGAATATTTTTGTTGATGTCTTCCTCCCTCACTCCATGTTCCTAGTTATTGGCTATCCTACCCCCTATTTTCTGATTCAAGGCAAAAATAAAGGCCTGAGGCACTGGAGCCCAGCAAAGCACTAGACTCACGTCTCTGACTTTACGTTGAGTTGGAGGGAAGTCTGTCATGTCTCACGTCTTCCCTACTATGGTAGAGTCCTTCTCGCCTGTCACTTCTGATTGCCTCGAGACCTGGGTCTAGGAGAGCCTCTGAGCCCAGCTAGAGGGCCGGGGCCACAGTGCCTGCCATGTTCATTCTGTCTAGGAGAAAGCATTCTATCTCCTTGACGACCCTCTGGCCGCCGTGGATGCCGATGTGGCCAACCACCTGCTGCACAGGTGCATCCTGGGAGTGCTGAGCCACACCACCCGGCTGCTGTGCACGCACCGCACTGAGTACCTGGAGAGGGCTGACGTGGTGCTGTTGATGGAGGCCGGGCACCTGGTCCGAACAGGTAACGTGGCGAAGGAAACACTTGCCCTGGGGGGATGTGGGATGACAGGTGGAGTGTCAGAGCGGATCCTGCCACCCTTCCACAGAGCCAGCCTGAGGAAACAGGAGAACGGGCTGGGATGGGGGGCGGGGCGGGGGCGTGTATGGCAATGTGCCCGAGCCCTTAGAACTTAGCCTCCTGGGAGCTTTGAAAGCAGTCATGAAGTGAGCAGTGACCTGACCCGAAGGTACGACCTTCTTGTAAAGAAAGAACAGCAGAGCTCTGGTGGATTATTGTCCATCAGAGGGGCATGGCCACCTGCAGAGCTTGTTGGCAAAGCAGTAGGAAGAAGTGAGGCCCAGCCGGAATATCAGGAACTGGGGTAGAACCTGAGAAAAGGCTCCCGCAGTGTTGACAGACGATACCGCGCAGGTGTGGGGGGCGGGCCTTACTCACGGCTATGGAACGTCTGTGGGCCACCCTCCAGGCACGCAGCAATGGACCTAATGAGTCCCACTTGGGCAGGCTGGGGAGAGTGGCCAGAGGGGGAAGGTGGGATTACCATGCATTTAGAAAGGTACAGTGTAGACCTATAACAGCCTCCCCCTGCCGCCTTCCAGGGCCTCCCTGTGAGATTCTGCCATTGGTTCAAGCTGCCCCCACAGCCTGGGCTGAGGAGGAACAAGTGGCTGGCTCAGGTGGGAAGAAGGGGCTGGGATCCCCCCTTTGTGTCTATATGTGTGTCATGGAAGAGATGAGGCTGGCCTTGAACTTCCAGAGTAGCCTAGACTGGCCTCAAGAGATCATAGATGTGTGTCACCACATGGAAAAGTTAGTTTTCCTTTTGTTTTTCCTCCAAGTCCTAGGAGTCAAACTCTGGGACCCATCACGCTCTTCAGAGGCTCACTGCCCTCGCCAGTCCTGGGCGGCTTTTGTTGTTGCTGTTTAGTGTTGTTTTGCTTTTTGAGACAGGGTTTCTCTGTTCTGTCCTGGCTGTTCTGGAACTCTGCTTTTTATCAGCACACAATGGAAATGATTTTTAAAGCCTGCCTGCTCCTGTAAAACATTCCCATGTCAAGCGTAATTCCTCTGAGGCCTTCCTGATTCTCACAGGCAAGTCCCTGTCGGTACAGAACCCAGAGGAAACAGCGGAGGGGCTGGAGGCGGAGCAGAGCACATCTGGTCGCCTAGTGCAGGAAGAAAGCAAAAATGAGGGGGCTGTGGCCCTGCATGTGTACCGAGCGTACTGGAGGGCCATGGGCAGCGGCCTGGCCGTCGCCATCCTCGTCTCTCTGCTTCTCATGCAAGGTGAGACCGCCGCAGAAGGGCCTTGCCTGCCCCCCTCCACCACGCCCCCAGCCATGCTGTCCAGGGGCTCATGACTGTATTCACCTGGGTACCACCCCATGCTCAGAACCTTACCATGCATAGACAACAGTTGTACACAAGGTGTGCCCCAATTTTGAGGATTCCGGAGGTCAGCTAGCCTTAGTGCTCCGTCATAGTCCTCTTTTTAATTAACACAAAATCCATTTTCTGTGTGATGTTTGCCCGCACGTGTGTCGTGCACCATGTATGCTTGGTGCACACGAGTCCGGAGACATGGGATCCCCTGGACTGGAGTTACGGATGGCTGTGAATGATCGTGTGGCTTTGGAGAATTGAACCTGGGATCTCTGCAAGAGCCGCAAGTGCTCTTAACTGCTGAGCATCTCTCCAGCCCACATAGTCATCCTTTTAAAAAATGTCCTATTACGGTTTTTTGAGACAGGGTCTCACTGTGCAGCTCAGGCTGGTTTGGTTGGCCTTGAATTTGCAATCCCCCAGCCTCAGCTTTTGAGTATGGAAATTCTAGGTGTGCACCACCACGCTAGGTTTCCACAGCTCTCTTTTGATCTGCCATCCAGGCAAGTCCCATTCTGCAAAATCGGTCACGCTGTCCCAGAGCCGAGGGGTGGTAGGTCTAGGGACAGTGTGCAGTAGGGAGACGCAGGGGTAGTGGGTAAGACGTGGAGGCCCGGGGCGGAGGGCAGAAGAGGGGAGACTGTGGTGGGCCAAGAGTGTGGGGTGAAGAGGGAGACTGTGGTGGGCCGAGAGTGTGGGGTCTGAGCAGAGCAAGCGGGGAGCTCTGCAGCCTCTTCCTCCCGTTCACGTCCAGCCACACGCAACGGTGCTGACTGGTGGCTCTCTCACTGGCTCTCTCAGCTGAAGACAGCCAGGAATAGCTCTCAGGAGGGCCCGGCTTCCTCCAGCCCGGGATCCACAGTGCTCTTCTCCCCGCCGCCGCTGCTTCTCTTCTCCTCCAGAAACTTCTAGTGAGTGGCCGGGGCTGGGAGGAGGTCTGGTGCTCTCCAGTAACCTGGAGGGAGGGAGGGCAGACTTGGAACTGTGTCTTTTAGAGGGTGGGGAAAGAGAAGGGAAGGGACCCCTGAGTAGGCCTTCTTTGGATTACCTGCAGTCTCCTCCCCACCACTCAGCCTCCCACTGCTCAGAGCTGCTTCCAACGGCTCCTCAGATGTCCACTTCTACCTCACCGTGTACGCCACCATTGCTGGCGTCAACTCTCTCTGCACCCTCCTCCGGGCGCTGCTCTTTGCGGCAGGCGCCCTTCAAGCAGCAGCCACATTACACCACCGCCCGCTGCGTCAGCTCCTCAAGGTGAGGTGATGGGAAGGAGGGAGGGGCCCCGGCTTGTGTCCCCCAGTGCGTGGACCACGTTCACATTCCCAGTCCATACTGCAGCCTCTGACAGAGGTGGCAGCGGATAACAATCTCAGACCAGAAACCTGGGAGTCAGTGTGGCTGGGTTTGAGTCGACTGGTGTCAGCCTGTTTCCATCCATAAAGAGGGCAAACAAGAGAACATCCCTCAGAGTGTCTTCTCGGATTTGAGGTGCTAAGGCTTGACTTTGTAGTTCATGCGAGGCCTGTTTTCTCTTTTGTGTTCTTTACCTCCCTTCATGTCTACACTGTTTCCTCTTCCTTCTCTTCCTCGATACGCATCCTTACTAAGGGAGTTTAATATGTTATCCTTTTCGCTTGTTCATCACAGAATGCCTGTGTTTCATGGGCATGCATGTTTCTAGATTTTTATTTCTTGTGCATGTACTGTTGTTGTTATGTTTGAGAGTGTCTCACTATGCAGCCCTGGAACTCACTATGTAGACCAGGCTGGCCTCAAACTCACAGAGGTCCACCTATCTTGGCTGGGATTAGAGGTGTGCACTACTGCGCCCCGCTCTGTGCATGTATTTTTATTCCTAGTTATTGACAATTTTTATCTCGAGCTGTTTCAGAGCCCCACCCCTCCCAGGCCTGGGGGTGGACACCGGTAAGCCCAGACTTTGGAAGGTTGAGGCAGGAGTCTCTCGGGTTGAAGCCAGCCCTTGAGCACACCCTTAAATGGCAATGCCACGCTCCACCCAGCCTGGGCAGGGTTTTCCTCCTGACGTCTACGGCTCACTTGTTGGCCTAAGGTGCCTGTCTCGTAGAGAAAGATTAGCTCTCCGCTCTTGAAGGAGCGGTAAGCGGGTCCAGCCCAGAGGGTGGTGGATGCTTGGCACGGCCTTGTAGGGCAGCCACTGGCCTGAGGAACCGGAGTCTTTCTCACCTTGAGGTAGTTCCCGCCAAGTTCCACCGATTCCTCTCTCCCACACTTTGGGGCTGCATCGTCCTTTTCTCCACTGAAGGCCGTCTTCCACCTCACCCCTCACCAACCTGCCCCCCAGCTCTTTATCTTCAGCCCTTGACCTTGTCCAACCCCCTCCCTCCTCCAGGCACCGGTGACTTTCTTCCACTCCACGCCCTCGGGCCGGGTCTTGAACCGCTTCTCCTCAGATGTAGCCTGTGTGGACGACAGCCTGCCCTTCCTCCTCAACATCCTGCTGGCCAATTCCGTAGGCCTGCTGGGCCTCCTGGTCGTGCTGGGTTCCGGCCTGCCCTGGCTGCTGCTGCTGCTGCCGCCGCTGGGCTTCCTCTACTACGGGGTGCAGCGTCACTACAGGGCGTCCTTCCGGGAGCTGCGGCGCCTGGGCAGCCTCACCCTGTCTCCGCTCTACACCCACCTGGCTGACACCCTGGCAGGCCTCCCCGTGCTCCGGGCTGCAGGGGCCACTTACAGGTGCATCTCCCAGCCAGAGTCGGGGTCGGGGGTCAGGGGTCGGGGGGCGGTAATGGAGGAGCGTACCGGGCAGGGTTAGAAGTAAAGGAGCCTGTCCCCCTTGGATATAGACAGCGGGGAGAGAACACTCGGGAAGTGTGAAGATCGGGGAGTAAGGTGGAGCAGGAAGTAGGTAGGCCGGCTTCCAGGAAGGGTGCCGGGGAAGGGTGAGGTCTGCAGCAGTGGTGTGGCTTCTCTGCCTCCCCCAGGTTTGAGGAGGAGAACCAGCGACTCCTGGAGCTAAACCAGCGGTGCCAGTTCGCCTCCTGTGCCACGACGCAGTGGCTGGACATCCGACTGCAGCTCATGGGGGCAGCCGTGGTCAGCGCCATCGCCGCCATCGCCCTGGTACAGCACCAGCTGGGCCTTGCCAACCCAGGTGCCGCCCAGGGACCCGTCACCCTTACTTTAGGAGCAAGTCCTTCCATCCAGGTCCTTGACCCAGACCCCCGGTGTCTCTCCCTCCCCCCACCCCCACCAGTGTCACCTCCTGCCCAGTGTTCCCTTCATCAGTACCATCCTCCTCCTCCTTTTAATGCTAAGGAATCCAGAGGCAGTGGTGGAACTGGGACCAGACCAAGGCTTCTGTGGTCACCCTTTCCTCGCTCCCACCCCAGCCCTTCTGCTCTGCCCCCGTCCC